AGGCTAGCTGTTTCCCCCTGTTTCCAGTCTTTGTGCTAAGCTAGGCTAAAATAAGCTAAGCTAAGCTGCTGGTTACAGCTACATATTTATCAGAAAGACATGAGAATGATATCCATCTTCTAATCTAACTCTCAGCAGTAAAACAAATAAGACTATTTTCAAAAATGTCAAACTATTTATCTGAAATTTTCATTCATGAGCTGTAGATGTTTTGGTGTAATAACTTCTTATCCAGCTGACTTTAAAGTGAACAAAGTCTAAAAGTAATTGGTCTCTTTAGTGCTGGGCTCAGAGGTTTGCCAGCTATGTTCTGTGAGCAGTTTTTCAACTCGTTTGGGAGACTTTCTGCTTGACAGTGGTCCCAAACAGTCTTTGTTGGCTCTGAGTTTCTAGTGAATTGCATAATTACCTAAACTGGAGGTGGGGTGATAACCACAAATGCTAAAGTGAAACCTCAAACTGGAGGAGCCATCTGCAGTCTATCAGTTATTATACTGGGCAAACATCCAGGAAGTGAAATATTACTAAACTGTTTTACCGGGGATTCCTGGGAATCACCTCAAGGTATTCCAGTAAGAATGAAAGGTTATACCACAACTTCGAATTATCAGATGTGATGTCAAACAGCAGTCATGAGTCCAAACCACCCCCAGATCAATTTAAGGATAACTGAAAATTCTGTAAAATGTTCAGTATATCTTAAGTTTATTTTTATGTTATTAAAAAAAAAATAATTAAACTGTTGTATGTCCAAATAGTTTCCCTAAATGAGACTTTAAAAGCTGTTTTTCACGAGTTCTGTATGTCTTTTTATTGTTCAAATGCTCTTTGTATTCTTGGGTTTTTTCGTTGTTCTTGGTGGCCTTAAAGCTGACAGTGTGTCTTTAAAAACCCCAGCCTATGTACGTTTAAATTCCTTAAATTTCCTGGAAAAATACAAAACATGACATCTATGTCCTCCATCGTAAATATATAAACTGAATCTAACCTTCTGTGGGAATAGTCTAGGAACACTATATGGTTTTAAATGATGTAGGGTCTTCATTGAAGCAGGGGCATTGATTTATGTGATTAAATCATTTCTGCCACCCCTCCATGCCACCCCCTGGCCACCCCATGAATAATATTTCTCTAGATCCGCCCTTGCATTGAACTCACATGAGTCTCTATATCAGTGTTTTACACAAACTTCATACATTTGGCAGCCAGGTCATCCCCAAAACTTACCCAGCCACAGCAGAACCGACGATATCTCTCCCAGCGTCCCACCTGATGCAGCCAGTCCGTGTTCAGGCTTAGACCAGCCTATCCCGGCACGGTTCAGCCTGGAGTGAATGTAGTCCCTGCACAGTGCTTTGGCCTGGGACACCAGCTCCTTGTCGGTGGGCGAGCGGTCAAACACCTCAGCCGCAAACACAGACGAGCGGCGCAACATATCCATGCCCCTGTCATCCGCCGCGGACTGCGCTGCTCACCTCCCCGCCTCCACCGCCTCGCACGGCGGCCACACGTCCCCGCTCCCTCCTGGTCCAGCAGATAGGAAGACCTCTGGAGATTATCCTGCATAACAGACATGCGGATTAGTTTGTGGACATCTTTTGAGCTGGATAATAAAGCTGTCCGACGCAAACGCAGCCAGTCTACTGAGGCTGCAGGTTATATAAAGCCCAGGCTGCAGAGAGAAAAGTTTCACAGTAGACCAGAAGAGTTATGTAAAGTGAAGTTATTGCGCCCACACTCGTTTATAATGAAGGTAAGGACAATTAAATTACACTTACCAGAGAATTAATAGGCTAATTTGCCCCAACTGAAATGTCTCCCTAAGCGGGCTGCATCAGCCTGTCACTGAGCACAGAAGTGGCTTTGATGGCTGTTTTTTTTTTTTATGAACTGAAGACTTGCTGCCACTCCAGCCGTAAAAAACGCTCTCCAGTTTATAGTCTGACAGGCTTTCCTTCTAAGGGCACTTATTGTGAAGTCCAAAGGCGGAGATAAGCAGACCGACACAAGCCCCGCCCCTCCGCCCCCATCCCAGCTCATACAACCAGCACACAGGTCATGACCCAGTAATATCTCAGCTGCTGTAGCTGCAGTTATTGAATCACCAAATATCAATTCAAACTACTCATTTTAACTTCTCTTGAGGAGGCTTGCCAGAATAAAACATTAAATATTGTCTGCTGAATGTGTGAGTGTGGTACTTAATGATCAAGTGCAGGCTGTGAAGACCTATTTGAAATTATTAAATTGTTAGAATGTAAAATGCTGCCAACAGTGAATATAAACTCTACTCTGTATGGAGGATAAATAAAGATAAATAAGGATTTGGCAGTACATAGAAGCCTTAAAGGGGTCCTCCAACCATTCACTATTGCACTTCCATATAGCTGGGCGACATGCTAGAGCCACATTAAAGAAAAATGGTATAAAAGTCCCAAAACACTGAATCCTACATTTCCCATAATGCAACCAATAACATATTTTATTAGACTCTCCTTGCCTGCTAAATGCTATCTTAAACTCAATGCTCCCAGTGTGCAACGCAGGCTTCCTGTTAGGGATTTTAGTCTCCATGCCCAAACTAATAATAATAAAAGTTCTTATTATTTTTGAACTATTATTATTAGGTTATTTTAATAGTTATTTTGTCAGACTTTAAAAAGCTCCCACCAGAGCCACAAAAACATTATGCAACTGTTTTTGTACTCAAGTGGTTCCTTTCAATAACAGTATTTTTGTATTCATATTTTAGAATGTTTATCAGTCTCCTAATAATGTGCACATACTTCTGCATATAGTTTCAGGGCCATACCTATCACGCCCTTGGTATTTGTTCTGTAAATTTAGGGGCTTAAGCAACCTGGAGGGTGGTGTCATATTCTATAAAAAAAAAAAATAATACAGTACAAACTAATGCCAGATTTGACTACTGTTCGGACAGAAAAACACATAAATGAAGTATACAGTGTAGTCAAAGGAATAGAGAGAAGGTTAATACCACTCTCATGTCTGTGCGTTCAGTATGGTGCTACTGGCAGCAGCTGATTATGTTAGCTTAGCATAAAGAGTGGAGACAGCAGCTAGTCTGAATCAACAAGTGAAATATGTTTACCAGGAAGCATTAGAGGCTGATTTGGTCACCTTTGGAAAGAGCCACAGAGCGGTGAGGTATCTGCTGGGGTCTGGTACATTTGCTGAGGTGTGTAGGGGGGTTGGACTCATGATTCAGCGTTTCCATACAGCCCTGCAGGTGTTAAAAGTAGGAAATAAGGTGAAAGTACAGAGTTACACAGAGACTCCTTTCTCATTATATTCTACTTCAAATGAGGAAGGTCAGTTATCATGTGTTCCCTCTGTCACATACTAATCCAGCTGTGATTGGGCCATGATGAAGATCTGAAACCATCACACTGCATTCTGCAAACTGTTTACTATCTAGACCTGTTAGATAAAGGCAGCGGAGTAAATTAATACTTCAATCTACACATAGTGCCAGAGGTAATGAAACCAGCATAAATTAACCCTTTTGGTTGTACAAGTTTAACTCATATATAGCACTTATATAGCACCAGTTGATGTGGTGCTACTGTGTCGCCATGTTGTGTTGAAAGTAAAACCCTGTAATAGCAGAGTGTGAGCAGCTACACACCTTCTCCACTCCTTAACAGAGAGCTCTCTGGCAGATGAGCAATAATGTCATCTCAGGGGAAGCCACCCCACCCACTGTTCATGCTGTTTGGACATGCCTGAGGAATGCCCTGCTTTGTTTATGATGACTCAACACATTTGTAGATCCCTGGTCATTGCCTTCATGGGACTTCTTTTCAGCACAAATCCTTATGTATTCAAGCAACGGTACATCTTCTCATGTGTCAACTGAGGTGTTGATACAGTATTTTACTATTGCTCTGGCTCGAAGCAGTTTCAATGTACACACTCTAATATTTCTCCTTATACATTTTCCAGGTGAGCAACAGAGAAACACAGCTGATAAATATCATCAAGTTTTAAGTTTTTATTCTCAGAGCTGCCTGAGGATCTGTGAGCAGTTCATAGTGCTGATATTTTTAAATGTAAACTTAAACCCATTGTTAGAATGTTCTATGTAAAGGAACCTTATGTATATGTATAAAATGTAAAAAAAAAAATATATATAT